CTGTCCATGTCAGAAGGCTAAACAACACAGTGACAACACCAAATGCTGACAAGAATATAGAGAAACTGGGTCACTCATTTGTGGCTGACAGGAATATAAAATCATACAGAGACTTTGGAAAACAGTTTGGCAATTTATTAAAAAAAAAAAAAAACAAAACCTGACATGTAACTGTCATATAACCCAGCAGTTGTTTCCTTGGGCATTCACCACAGATAAATGAAACCTTATATTCATATAAAAACTTGTACACAGATATTCATAACAGCTTTATTTGCAATAGTCAAAAACTGGAAACAACCCAGATACCCTTCAATGGGTAAACGGTTAAATAAATTGTAGTGTATCTGTACCATGAAATGCCACTGCTAAAAGGACACGGAGGTGGCATCTTCCAACCTCCTCCAGTCTCACGAGGGGGAAACAGAGTCACCATCAGCAGCCCAAGGCTTATTCCTAAGAGGCCAGACATACCGCCACCCTCCAACCTTTTTCCTAACTCTGACACCCGCTGTCCCTCCCACAGCACTCACTGCTTCTCTGCTGGGTATGATAATTCGTTGCAGTGGCCACACAGAACTCACAGACAATACTCAGGATTATGGGGTTTATTAAGGAAGTAACAGGCTGAAATTCCGGTTCAGGAATGTGCTCAGGGTACAATTCTCCAATCAGGACAGTCTCCTCTCTGCTGTGCCCTCAGACACACTTTTCTGCCCCTTGGCCTCTCGGCCTGGCTCTGCCCTGCTTAGGCAAGTGTTACACAGCTCTTGTAGCTCTGCTGATAGAGGCACCTAGGTGTACCCCACTCCGTCAGCAAGCCTCCTGCCTAAGGGTACTCAGCTTTATAGCTCTGTGGGCCAGTGAAGGCTGCCGCTCTGTCTCTCGCCTCTTGCTTCCACTGCGACCATGTTTCTGCAGGAGTCTCTCTCTGCTAGGGTGTGTCTCTGCCAAGGAGGTCCGGTGCAGGGATCTCGGGTCCAGCGACACACTCTAATTCACCTCCAGCTCTTCTCTCTTGATGGCAGTGAGATCTCCCCTCTGTCTCTAGGAAGGCCTGGCAGAGTGACAGAACTAACCAACCCCAGCCCAGAGTTCTACAAACCTTCTTTGCTTGGTCCCACTCAGGAATCCAGTGGGAGTTAGAAAGGCTATGGCTAAAAAAGTCATACCAAGTAATTCACTGCACCACAGCTACCCAGCAGTAGAAAATAATAGTAACAAGAATTATTACTATTATTTTGTGCGTGTAACAGCCTGCGTAAATCACCAGGGAATAATGCTGAGTGAAGGGGGGAGAGCTACACACTGTGTTTCTCTATTTGTGTAACTTTCTCAAAATGACAAAACCGTAGAAATGGAGCAAGAACTTACTAGTGGTTGTCAGGGGTTGGGGAGGGAGCTACAAACTGTGTTTCTCTATTTGTGTAACTTTCTCAAAATGACAAAACCGTAGAAATGGAGCGAGAACTTACTAGTGGTTGTCAGGGGTTGGGGAGGGAGCGGCTGGGCATGGCTATTCAAGGGCAACCAGAGGACCCTTGGGGTGGAAATGGTCTGCATCTCCATGGTACCAGCATCAGCATCCTGGCTATGATTGTGAACTACAATCTTGCAGATGTTACCATGGGGAGGAACTGGGTCAGGAGTTCACAGGTTTTCTCTGTTATTACTTCCAACTGCATGTGTATCTACCATGATCTCAAAATGAACATTTTAATGAAAAGAAATTTATGTCTTCTAGCTTATTTTTTATGAATATTAAATGTTCAGAAAGATGTATTCGACAAGTAAATTAATCCTTACTTTGGCATTTTAATATTTTACTTTCATTGCTTTTAAGAAAGATAGTGTTGGCATCTTTTATACATTTTAATATTAGAAGTAAAAGATACTGTTTCAGAAAACAATACATTTTTAAAATATTCTGTATGCTTTAAGAAGGTTTTTGATGATTTAGTTCATACATCAGGTCTACACCTTGCACGTCACCTATTTCAAGTATACAAAACAATGGCTTTTAATAGATTCACAGAGTTGTGTAACCATCACCACAATCAATTTTATAACATTGTCATCACTCCAGGAAGAAACCCCCTACTCCTCAGCTGTCATAGCCAGGTCCCCACCTCCCCCAACCCTAGATCACCACTAGTCTATTTCTGTTTCTCTAAAGGGATTTTTTTAGGGATAATCTATTAATGATATAAATAACAGTCTAGAAAAATATTTAAGAAGTCACTCATAATCTTATACTAACAAGCTAATTTTCCTGAATGGGCTTTTTTTCAGATACACACACACACACACACACATCCACACACATATGGAATCCAATATTTAGTACCCTTCCCTCTTCTATGTAAATAACTGTATATCCAGACGGGAGGGACAGACATACAATTTTATGATTCTGGCAAGATGAGAGACAGCGTTCCTCCCAAGGCCTGTTTTCAAATCTCTAGCACATTATGTTGAACTTAATTGAAAATGTATATTTATTATTAATTATGTAATTAATTGCTTGGAATCATGTGTCGTGATTTGTTTTGTTTGTGACGATGAAAGGGGTCCTACTGTCTCCTGACTAGAATTCCTCCATGAGTGGTGGCATTGGAGTTGCCACTATGCAGCTTAAGGGTTTTCAAACCACTTTAGCCTTGCACTCCTCTCTCTTCAAAGGACAGGCAGCTGCCCACTGGGTGGCTGCCTGCTGGGCCCTTCACTGCCCGCTGCTCCAGCTGCCTTTCCCTGAAGCAGGCCAGACTCACCCTGGATGCTTCTGAGCACAGGCTGTAAGGGCTGGGCTGTTATCTACCATTAACGTTACTGGATCATGGACATATTGGCCTTTGTTTTCTTATCATTGTTACGTATGAATAGAAATCTCTTAATCCATTAAAATGTCCTTCCTTCATTTTCTCCTTACTGTGAATCTGTAAAATAAGGTTTGCTAAACTAGACAAAATAGATACTGTTGAGTATGTGAGGGTGTGTTTAATCTACCTGTGGTAATAAACTGTTCCATTATCTTAAAAGCATTCATTGTATAGATAGCAGCAAATCACAGAGCTCTTCCTCTGTTTAAACTAGTCCCCTGCAGCTTCCTATATGATGCTTTATTGCCTTAGTTATAATATAAAAATGAAATAAATAAAATGTCATCTCTTCTAATAATGTTATCGAACTTAGACCTTTAAATAATTCTGAACGTTCATTTTCTAATCAGATCAAATGCATAATGTTTAATAACATTCTATAATTTGAAGTTATAGCATGATCTTGATTTTCAAATATAACATGGCCATCAAAAGGACATCTTTTTTTTCCTAAAAACAAGCCAGATGAGGAATTTTTTACAAAAACAAATATGTTGTTATTCCTGACTAGATATTTTGCATTTTCTTGCAGTCTTGCTAGAGATCAAAACTTCTCACTTCTAAGAAATAGTTGGAAAAGGAAATAAGGAATAGGCTTGGTGTGTTCAAATAGTACACAGTTTCATTTGACTCTAGAGAAAAAAAGAACTCAGAGATTCTCAGTTGAATCAATTCAGCACAAAGGTTGTCCACATAGGACTTGAGCATTCACTCTGAAATGAACTCCCCAAGAAAAAATGTCAGAAATAAGAGAGACATGAGCAGTGTGTGGTTTGTTTGGTCCAGAAATAATAGAAAATCAATTAAAATCTAAGAATATGTAGAAGTAGAACCAAGTCTGTGATTTTGAACCCTTGCGTGGTATCCGTTCTCTGCTGGCATCATCAACGGTTGTTTTGAATTTGCTGCTTTCTAACTTCAGAGGATAAATAGACCTTTCTTCCAGGAAGGTAATTTAGATGGAATTTTATCCAGTGATGTGAGTACGTGTGGAGGCAGTTCCTTAAAGCTGAAGCTGTGTGTTTATATTGGATGTGTCCAGAGGCTGCTGGCAGCAGCGGCAACGCGTAGCTCATTTCCCTGATAATGTACCTCATCTGCCATACTTCTCTGGCTGGATTTCACTCCCATCACTTCATGCCACCACGCTTATATTTTATTTCTCACACATATTGTTAAGTAGGGCCCACAGGGCTTCGCCCTCCCCCTTGAAAGGAAATTTGCAAATATCTGAAATTTAAAAAAAAAAAAAATGAAATGGGGCAGTGAAGATGAGATTTTGAGTTGGGAGCAACATTATAATTCACTTTATATTCCACAAAAAAATTTTGGATCTCCTAATTTACGGCACAACCTTTTAAACATCGCCTGCCTCTTTTGAGCATGTAAAAAATTTTCAGAGCCTTTTCCATCTGTTGTCTTTGAATGTTAAAAATTACAAAGAATAAATGTATGCAATGAAAATGTTCTTTTTAAAATTTTCACTGTTATAAGAAAGTAAGAGATCATTTTGAACGGAGCAAGTCTTTTGATGGGAGCATCAGCACAGCATAGGACAATCTCTTGGTCTTCAATTAGATGCCACTATTTTGAGTGTCACTTTCCGTTTAGAAAATCACAAGGCACGTTAATGAGAAGTTAGTTGAGCAATGTGACTGTGACGCGTTTGTGTTAGAAGCGTCAGAACAGAAAACACTTTGAGCTTCTGTCGGAGCCTCTGATTCAAAGTTCAGTTGGTGTTAAAATTTTCAAGTTAACAGAAAACAATTAGGACTATTCATGTTTGGCAAATCCATTTGATCAGGATACTTCGGGAGATGATGGTACTTAGGCTAAGATGTGTCCTGATGGTCTCTTTCTTATATAAAATATAAACTCAGACCATTTCCATGGCAACCGTGAGTCTTCTATTCCAGCCTGGGTAAAATTGACATGCATGTGCTCATGCCGTGTCTACTACATGCTCGTATGTAGCATGTAGGAAAAAGAAAAACATGTGCTCATATGTATTAACAAGGTTTTAATAATAAAATGCTAAGTATAGAGAATGTAATTATGTCATTAATTTCACTTCATTGATTTATTTTCTTTTTCACTCTTCTCTTTTTCTTAAAAAAACAGAGTCATTTTGGAATTCCGCTTCTTTCAATACTGAGGCGTCATACCTTCATTTTCCTACTTTCCGCGGAGAACTCAGTGCTGATGTGTCTTTCTTTTTTAAGACAACAGCTTCCTCTGGAGTATTTTTAGAGAACCTGGGGATTACGGATTTCATCCGGATAGAGCTACACTGTAAGTCTCCTTCTCCAGGGACGTCTGTGGGATCCTCTCATTGAACAGTAAATCCTTCAACCAATACTTAAGTTAATTTCCACCTTGTCAGCTGACTTCTCTGTTTCCTGTTTTTAAATTTCTGGTGGCATAGTGCTTAAGGCATTTGACTGCTAACCAGAAGGCTGGCGGTTCAAACCCACCAGCCACTCCTCAGAAGGAAGGTTGGGCAATCTACTTGTGTAGTGATACCTCCTCGGAAACCCGCGGAGGGGTCTCTGTGAGGTGGATCCCACTCCATGGCAGTGAGTTTATGATTTTAAATTAGCCTAATTATAAGAAAATAATTTGATGATGAACGTATAATATGTGAAAATGACAGGTGCTCTCTAGAACCAGTTTTTACTACTCATCTGTCAGTTTGTTGTACTGTGCTGGCTTGCATGTTACTGTGAAGTTGGAAGCAATGCCATCAGTATTTCAGATACCAACAGGGTCACCCATGGTAGACAGGTTTCAACAAACCTGCCAGACAAAGACAGACTGAGAAAAAGGACATGGCTGTGACTTCTGAAAAATCAGCCACTGAAAACATCGTGAATAGCCGTGGGACATTTTCTGATCCAGTGCTGGAAGGTGAGCCCTCAGCTCGGGAGGCACTTACAGTATGACTGGGAAAGAGCTGCCTCCTTGAAGTAGAGGATGGAGTAAAACTTGCAGAAGCTCCATCTGCTGATGGGGCATGATTCAGAATGAGAAGAAACAGCTGAAAACATCTATTAATAGTCAGAATGTGACATGGATAAAGCATGAATCTAGGAGAATTGGAAGTTGTCAATATGAAATGGAACACATGAAGATCAATATCCTAGGCATTCGTGAGCTGAAATGGATACCGGCCATTTTGATTCATACAATCATATAATCTACTGTGCTTGAAATGATAAGTTGAAGAGGAATGGCATCACATTCATTGTCAAAAAGAACATTTCAAGATCCTGAAGTAAAATGCAGTCAGTGATAGGATAATATCCTTATGCATAAAAGTAAGACCAATTAATACTACTGTTATTGAAACTTATGCACTAGCTGACAAAGCCAAAGAAGAAGAAATTGAAGAGTTTTACCAACTTCTGCAGTCTGAAATTGACCAAACATGCGATCAAGATGCATTGATAATTACCAGTGATTGGAATGTGAAAGTTGGAAACAAAGAAGAAGGATGGATAGTTGGACAATATGCCTTTGGTGACAGAAATGACTCTGGAGGCCCATTGATAGAATTTTGCAAGACCAACAACTTATTCATTGTAGATACCTTTCTTCAACAACATAAATGGTGATGTGGACCTCAACAGATGGAATACACAGGAATCAGATTGACTTCCTCTGTGGAAAGAGACAATGGAGAAGGTCAATATTATCAATCAGAACAAGGCCAGTGACTGACAGTGTAATAGATCATCAGTTGCTTGTATGCAAGTTCAAGTTGAAACTAAAGAAATTTAAAACAAGTCCACGAGAACCAAATTATGACCATGAATATATCCCATATGAATTTAGAGATGCCCTGAAGAATAGATATGGCACCCTGAATACCAACAACTGAAGATCAGAAGAGTTGTGGGATAATATCAAGAACATCAGATGTGAAGAAAACAAAAGATCATTAAAAAGACAGGGAAGAAAGAAAAGACCAAAATAGATATCAGAAGAGACTCTGATATTCACTTTTGAATGTAGAGTAGCTAAAGCGAATGGAAGAAATGATGAAATACAAGAGTTGAACAGAAGATTTCAAAGGACAGCTGAAGAAGATAAGGTATTATAGTGAAATGTGCAAAGGCCTGGCATTAGAAAACGAACACACTGGGCATTTCTCAAGCTAAGAGAACTTTAAAAACATTCATGCCTTGAGTTGGAACATTGAAGAATTCTGTGGGCAAAATATTTAATGGTGGAGGAAACATCAAAAGTTCTGAGGAATACACAGAGTCACTGTGCCAAAAACAATTGGTTGATGTTCAGCCATTTCAGGAGGTGCCATATGATCAAGAGCTGATGATACTGAAAGGAAAAAGTTCAAGCTGCGTTGGAGTCATTGGCTAAAAACAAGTCTCCAGGAACTGACAGAATAGCAGTTGAGATGTTTCAATACAAATGCAACTCCAGAAGTGCCCACTCATCTGTGCCAAGAAATTTGGATGACAACTAACTCCCTGAGTAACCAAGTGGAAGAGATCCATATCTGTACCTTTTCCAAAGAAAGGTGACCCCACAGAATGTGGAAGTTATTGAACAATATCATTACTATCACAGGCAAGTAAAATTTTGCTGAAGATAATTCAAAAATGGTTGTAGCAGTACATCAATAGAGAACTGCCAGAAATTCAAGATGAATTGAGAAGAGGACGTGGAAGGAGGGAAATCATTGCTGATGTCAGATGGATCTTGGCTGAAAGTAGAGAATACCAGAAAGATGTTTATCTGCATTTTATTGACTATGTGAAGACATTTGACTTTGCAGATCATAACAAATTTTGGATAACTTTGCAAAGAATAGGAATTCCGGACCACTTAAGTGTGCTCCTGAGAAGCCTGTGTGTAAACCAAGAGGCAGTCATTCAAACAGAATAAGGAAATACACGGTGGTTCAAAACCAGGAACAGTGTATGTCAGGAGTGTATCCTTTCACCACACTTATTCAATCTGTATGCTGAGCAAATAATCTAAGAAGCTGGACTGTGTGAAGAGAAGAACGCAGCATCAGGTTTGGAGGAAGACTCATTAACAACCTGACATGTGCAGATGATACAACCCTACTTACTGAAAGTGAAGAGGACTTCACTTTTGAAGAAGCACTTCCTAATGAAGATCAAAGAACAGTCTTCAGAATGGATTACACCTCAACATAAGGAAAACAAAAATCCTCACAAGTGAACTAATAAACAACATTGTGATAAACTGAGGAAAGATTGAAGTTGTCAAGAATTTCATTATACTTGGATACATAATCAACCTCCATCGACTGCAGTCAGGACATCAAACAGCATATTGCACTGGACAAATCTGCTGCAAAAGACCTCTTTAAAATGTTAAGAAACAAAGATGTCACTTTGAAGGCTAAGGTGTGCCTGACCCAGGCCGTGGTATTTTCAACTGCCTCATGGACATGCAAAGGCTGGACAGTGAATAAGGAAGACCAGAGAAGAATCGATGCATTTGAATTCTGGTGTTGGCAAAGAATATTAAACACACCATGGACTGCCAGAAGAACAAACAGGTCTGTCTTGGACGAAGTATAGCCAGAACGGTCCTTAGAAGTGTGGACGGCAAGACTTTCTCTCTCGTATGTTGGACATGTTATCAGGAGGGATCAGTTCCTGGCATAGGCTATCATGCTTGGGAAAGTGGGTGGGCAGCGGAGAGGAGGAAGACCCCCAACGAGATGGATCGACAGTGGTTACAGCAGTGGACTCAAGCTCGGCAATCATTACGAAGGTGGGAGAGGATGGGGCAGTGTTGCATTTTGTTGTACACAGGGGCACTATGAGTGGGATCCAACTTGACGGCACCTCACAACAACAATAACAATTTTAAGAAGGATTTAAATGCAACTGGTTAAAATTACAAAAAAAAAAAAAGGTTAATTATCAAATTACTTAATTAGAAAACAACCAGTCATATCATTTTGTTGTAGTCATAGACTGCTACTGATATCTTCCTGTCAGACATTTGAAACTTATATAAGCTTTGTGTCAGTGTAAATGAACTGTATTTACAAAACTTAGATGCTATTTAGTTTCTTGGTCTGGCTATATCCATGTAATATTTTGCACTGTCCTTATTAATTGCTGTTGAGTAAAACTTTACTATTTAGCGATATAAAAAATATAACCCAAAGAACAAATTTGTTAAACTATGTTTGTCCCCAAAGGAAAATGTACCCTGTCACCTACATCAGTCAGTACCAATGTCATTAGTCTCTTCCATAAAATTCAAATGGTTGTCCTTTGTATTTAGTGATTTTTATGTTGTGGTGCTATTCCTAAGTATTAGAGACTCAGTTCACTGCCATAGGAACTAATTTGAACAAGCTTCGTGTCTGCTGTTTCCAGCTCCAGCAGAAGTGACCTTTTCATTTGACGTGGGGAATGGGCCTTTTGAAGTCTCGGTGCAGTCACCCACTCACTTCAACGATAACCAGTGGCACCACGTCAGAGTCGAAAGGAACGTGAAGGAGGCATCCATTCAAGTGGATCAGCTCTCACAGAAGACACAGCCTGCACCCGCTGATGGGCACGCCCTGTTACAGCTCAACAGCCAGCTGTTTGTGGGTGAGCTCTGCTGGGAGGCGGTTTGTCGTTGCGTTGTGGGCTGTCGGTGTGGAGAGGTGGGACAAAGAACGTAGTACCAACTCGAGAACATGATGATAATCCATTGGTTTTTGAGTTTTCCATGAGTCAGAATCAACTTGGAGGCTTTTGGTTTATTTACTGAAAACCAGTAGGTGCTGCATTTCTTTCTCACCACCAACCTGTGAAATAGGGATTATTTTGCCGATTTTATGAGTTAACTGAGGTCCAGGGGGTCGAAGTGACTTGCCTTCAGAAATCTATCTTGTCAATGAGATCCAAACTTAAGTTTGACTAATTTGTAAGTCTGCAGTATAAGCATGACACATCGTTTGATTTGTTCCAGTTTTGTTTCATTGGTTTATTTGCGTTTTGTTTGTTTACATCAGCACTTTCAAGCATGATGGTGGAAATGCTTCTCTCTGTTTCCTGTGGAGAGGGAGACCTGTTTCCTCGAACAGCCCTTCCTGTGGTTTCCACCATCATTGTCTAGTATTCTGATAGCCCCTGTTCACCTACTGCATGTTCATATCCAAATATTGCTCCTTTCCTTCCTTCATCCATTCACCTGGCTTTGATATACTCGAGAACGGGAGCCTTTTGGGTTTTTTTACTTTCTTTTGCATCGTTGCTAATTACTTTACAGTACTCATGGACCATGAAGATCAAGGAATTCTCTTTTACCCAGTCATTACTCATACATTTTAATATAAATAACAACACAACACAGCTATAAAGAAGACTATATGAACAATAATCAGAAATTATATCTCAGGATTTTCAGAGTTAAGTGTTAGAACAAAAAATATCAGATCCCCATTCCATACATTTTCTATTACTTAACACCCTTGTCTGAGCTCTCTCCCACTTCAAAGGATGAAGCTTATTTGTGACATATTTTACTGAGACCCATTTAGGATTTCTCAGGAATTTATGGGCTCATTCTTTCTATCAGTTATTCTTTCTTTCATCCAACAAATATTTAATGAACAGCTTCTGTGAGTAGGGCTTGTGTTAGACAGTCTTCTCTTTTGGCCCCTTTATGGACTTTTAAAGGATATGGGAATAGCAAGACATGAAGAATATATATATATGTATATAACTTTTCTTTTAATATTGTCCTGGAAGCTCACAGTCAGGAAATTGACATAGATATTTCTTGAATTGCAAAAATCAAGAAATGGCCACAACAATAGATATGGCCATTTGAAATCTGTCACTAACTTGGAAATAACCTTCCTATTCTTAGAAATTGAGAGGGCTGAAACGGCTCTCAAATACTTCAGTGAAATCTGCTGCACTTTGCCTGTGGGTCACCTTCTATCCTCGGTAAGAATTTCTGCTTCGTAGAAACGGAGCCACTGTGCATTGTGTCTGAAGACAGCCGTGGCTTTCGTTGTTTTCAGGTAGTGGTAGGGATAGATAGAGCTACGACTGTGAAATCACAGATTGTGTTAGATAAGTCTTGAGTCTCTTGTCTATTATGCGCCATATTTTTAATAAGCACTGAAGAGATTTCATTGTTATTAAAGCAGTTGGTTAGGCTTTTGACGTTACCATATGTTTTCAGATTCAAGGATGGATGTCTTTTTGGAAGTTTAAAGCTGAAATCCTGATTATATGTCAGTCACATTCATTGAAAATCAGAAAGAAAACAATCTCTGAAAGAATGTTGTACTTGCTGGTAATAAAAATCTGTTTGTACAGTTCTCCCCTGGTAACTGTGAGTAAATGGACGTCGTTTAATGGAAGCTGAGAGGGATCCATTTAACAAAAGGCTGCAGCCTTGGGTAGAAGCAGATGACTGCCTGTCGAGAGACCACGTAAGATGCTTCCTTATAGGTTTCTGGGTTCCTCTATTTCCCCATTTTTCGTTTCACCTGAAGGTGGCTTTTCTTGTGTTCGTCCTTTATCCAGCTCTTTAGCAGTGATTGAAGCTATTTCCAGGCTGCACAGTCCAGGTTATGCACCGCCTACAAGGTCTTTCTGCCAGCCTGCAGAAGGCCTCTGGTACTTCTTTCGGCTCCGAGACGGTATCTCATCTCCTTCCACCTCACCTCTTCCGGAAATGCACAGTCAGCAGGAAATCGGGCCGCTTTGTTCAGGTGCCGGCGCAGGTCGCATCTAGGAGGGCCCTTCTCTCGGAAAGTGTGTTCCTGCACGTTCAGATGCTTTCCAGCATGTTAGAAGTGAGCCTTGTTAGGGTCTGAGGGCCAAGCCTCCTTTCACGATGGACACCCTCTGCTTTAGTCCAATGTAATTAATTTTCTGCTTAACCTTTGTGCCGTTGTGTCGGTTCTGAGTCGTCCTGACCACGTGTACGACAGGACGAAGCCTGGCCCAGTCCTGTGCCGGCCTCACAGTCGTTGCTGGTTTTGAGCCCGTTGTTGCAAGGCAGTGAAATTAACATTTAGAGCATTTCGTTCCTCTTACCCACAAGTTCAAGAGTGAAGGGAGCAATCAGAGTTTGGTTTGAAATCCAGCCTTCTTTCTTAAAAAGTCATGGCTAATCAGTATTTTCAAATGTGCGTAATGACTATCATTTGTATTTGCATGTGAGGGCAAAGGAATGGGGTTTAAGTGTGATTGCAAAGAGTAGCTGCAGTATTCAGCATAACTTACTTTATTCTTTTACTAATAATTAACATTTTCAATCTAGGGACTGATGATGATAATGTTTGAAATTGGGTTGTTAGAAACATAGGTCAAAACTGGAAGCCTAAGTTAGTCTAAAATAGATTATATTAGTATTCCAGTATTTATTGGCTTTTACCAAGTATGCACCTTATTTGTAAAAGAGTTTAGCAGAATACATAAAAGTGATTGTGGAATATTTCAAATCCCAAATGAAGTTGGTTTATTGTACTACAAATATGAGATACTAGGTATTTCAAAACTGTGGTAATACGTGTGTTTGAGATAATAGTATCTCAACTTTACCTAACAATAATACCTAATAATATCTACCTTTAGATAATAAAGTATCTAACACTTTACCTACAAATAAAAGATAATGGATATTTGAATATTTGTTCATTTTGATTTAAATTATGTTCCACGTAATTGTTATGTTCCACTGGCCTATGCCAGTGGCCTTTTGTTGACATTATATATTTTTTGACATTAAAATCTTGTGCTCTCTCAGTAGCAGTAACCGCAATGAGGTAATATGAAGGGCTCCACAGTATTTTCTAAATCACTTGCTTCACTTTCTCTAATAAAGATAGTCAGAAAGTATGTTTATATCTCAGAGTTAAACCCTGAGATGAGACTAACACTGTAATTTCTGAGCAAAATTATTAAAAAGAAATAGCACTAAAAAAAAAAAATAGCTGGCAGCAGTCAGCTACAATTGAAATAGTAATGAGAAAATGATAATAGCTTCAGAAATTCAACTAGTGTTAGCCCACACCAAAGAATAATGAAACTGAAGGCTTTAAAAAAATCCCTGTAGTTACCAGAACAGTTATCTTCAACTAATCTAAAATGCAGGATGCCATCCACCATGCCATCCAAAGAGAACGAGGAATAAAATAATGAATAAAAACCCACGCATGGGTCAGCGAAAAAGGCTCATGTCAATGTAATGGGATAGTAGGGTTAGAAACAGCGAGCGATCTTGTAGTGAACGGCCTCCACCCAATCATCCCACCCCTAGATTGCCTTCCACGATGGTGGTGATGACTCAGCTCCTGTCTGTCGACGTCTTTCTCCATTCTTGTTTGTGATTGTGTCACTGGGTCTTTATCAGCATTTCCACATTCCGTCACTTTCTCCTTTTCTGTCATTTATAACATATCTTAGTTAATATTCTTATTCAGAGGTGCTCTCTATGACCTTGGAAAACAAGTTGTGTGATGTGATGCTAAATACTGTGTTCAATATGCCCTTGGCCTTGTTGGCACCGAGAACTCGTTGTCCCAGGGTCCCTGCTGTCGTAGGCTCACAAACATTCCCCAACCACGGAACTGATGGGGAGAAAAGCGTCAATCATTTCTAAAGCTGGAATGTGACAGTGGTCATTTTCTATTTTGGTTTGTAAATTCAGCATTTTTCCTAGAAGCTTCTTAAATTAGCCTTGAATTGATTTTCATTCAACCAAGTCTGCAATTTTTGTTTCCAGTCTTTAAGTTCTTTTACTGACAGGTTTTCAAGTTGGGCATTTTGCTGCTCTGTCGCTGGCACCTGGAGGAGAAATGAAGGACTCCTGACAGGGTCAGAGGTCATTGGCATTGAATGAGATCAAATCTACAAATAGTCATGGAGCATCTAGAGTGAATGCTTTGCTATATGCCATACACAAAGGTTCAGCTCTAGGCATGAGGCCCGAGGCTAGGCTTCTCAACCGTAGCTGCGTTGGGGGCTCACCTGGGAGCCTTTCCGCATCTGGCACTACAAAGGTGTATTTTACTGTGGATGGGCTTTGGGAGTTTCAGAGTTTTGTTCATTACAGATACATCCTTTCATTGGTCTTTTGGTGAGCATGTATTTGCATTCTTGTTGGGTATATACCTAGGGAGCCCTGAAGGCATTGTGGTTAAAGCACTCAGCTGCTAACCAGAAGGTTGGTGCTATGAACCCCTCAGCATCTCCATGGGAGAACTATCTAGCAGCCTGCTTCTGTAAAAATGTGCAGCCTTGGGAATCATATGGGGCAGTTCTTCTCTGAGCTATGAATCAGAAAGCACTCAATGGCAGTGGGTTTGGTTTTTTGATTTTTGGACATACCTGGGAGTGGAATTTTTGGGATATAGGACAAGGGCATGTTAAGAATTAGGAGATATTGTCAAATTCCTGTTGGCTGTTTGGATATCCACCTTCATGAAGTGGCTGTTCAAGTCTCTTGCACATTTTTTATAGGACTCTCTTCTTTTTTAAAAAAAAAAAATAAATTTGTAACTGTTCCTTATAAATTTTGGGAGGGCCCTGGTCAGATAAATGTCTTGCAAATGTCTTCTACCTCTCTGTGAATTGCCTTTTCA